TATGCATTTCGCCAAAATCATCCATCGTTTTGATGAATATTATGAACCAGATTTTTCGCTAATGATATACACTATTGATCGTATAGATTGGCAGTTTCGTAGTTGATTGGAGGTTACGGAATCGTCTGAATAATATAGGTTCACGATGTGATGCGATTTTTTTACAAAATTACCCTTTAAACAGTTGTTCATAGACATCTCATTTAATGTATTAATTAAATGATTATTTTTRTAGTCTCATTTAATAAGGACCGTTTGATGAGAAAATGAACTATCAAGATCGGTTAGCATAGTTTGCACRATAGTTTGGGTTAGTATTTGAACCAGCCCCTATATATATATATATATAAATATATATAAAGTAGAGACGTTAGTTTAAATACTCGAGTTATTTGTCATCAAAATGAAATACAGATTATAATACATATACACCAACACACTCTTCTTTAAGAATTACAATTTAATTAGTAACGACATATTGTCTCTTATACAGTTGAAATTTAATTTGGTTTATTTGAAAAATCAAATTATTTTTTTCTTAATATAATTTTGTGATTTATAACAACATTTCGTTGCCATTGGTTTTCTTATTTAAAAGAAAGTATAATAACTTTTTTGGTTCCTATACTTTTATAATTTCTTGGTTTTGCTTCTTAGAGTTTACTTAATACAATTTTGCCATTACAGTTTACGTTTTTATCTGTTTTTTTATCCCTCCTTCTAATGAATGTTAGCATCTCTTAAATAAAGGACGTTATAGTCCATTTACAAAATTTTCTTATTTTTAATTAAAATTAAAATCTTTGAAATCCTTCCATTAAAATGGAGTCACGTTTCCCACCATCTTTCTTCAAAAGAATTTTCTTTGACTATAACATCCTGAAAATTTGAAGAATTTTATATTTGATGTACTGGTGATAATGAAATATAAAACGATTAGAATGTAGATGTATTTGAGATCTTAGGGGGTGTTTGGTTCACAGAATGGAATTGAAATCCATCAAAGGAATTTGACTTTGAAAGAATTTGAATGGAATTTGACCACGCGTTTGGTTGGTAGGAATTGGAATAAAATCTCTCAAAAGAATTGAAACAATCGTCTTTGTTTAGACTATCGCACCCATCACCCTGCCCACACCCTACCAACCACCATGTCACTACTGTTGTCGTCACAGCTATCACCCTACCCCATCCTATCCAAACCCACCCCAACCCTGCCCTACCACTCCCTGCCCCAACCCCTGCTCCATAGGTTGGGGTTGTTGGGGGCATGCAGGGTGGGGTGAGGCAGTGGGTGGCAGGGTGGAGTAGGTGAAGGGGGGCGAGGGTGGGGGTAGGTGAAAGGGTGGTAGTTGTGACGATGATAATGGTGGGATAATGGTCGTGTGGCTGGGGCCTAGGAGTGGGTAGTACAGACAACAATAGTGGCATGGTGTTTAGTGGTGGGTTGTAGTAGGGTAGGGTGCGGGTGAGTGGCAATTATGAAGGCGACAATAGTCGTGTGGGGGTGGGGGTTAGGTTAGGGACGTGGTAGGGAGGCAGGGGAGGCCAGTAGGGATGGGTGGTGGGTGGGGCATGACGAACAATTGTAGCAAGATCGTGGTGGATGATGATGGGATTCAATTCCTTCCATTATGCCAATGAATGATGAATTCATTAATTTGTGGAATTCAATAGAATTTGAAGAATTCCATTCATTTCAAAAAATTAACCAAACAAAGGAATTATAATTTGGTCAAATAAATTTGTTATTCCAATACCATCAGATATACTTTGAAATATTAAATATTTACAAAGAAAAAAATTGGAATTTGGATACTTAAAACATTGGTGGTCAAAATAAGAATCCACAAACTTGAGGGTGCATTTAAATAAACCTTTTAATCTAATTAAAACAATCGTCTTCTTCCTTTTTATTGCTAAATCAAACCGAACGAGAGGCAGAGAGTTGGAAGAACTCGACCAAGCAACAAAATAAAGAGATTGAAGGATTCAAGTTGGATTTGACGTAGAAATCAACCATAAACCTGAATAATATCGCCATTGTTGTTCAAAGAGATGAAGAGTGAGTCGATTTGGGGTTTGGGTCTTGATATTCAAGCAAGAATTTAAGGTATGTTTCATACAACTAAGCTTAAATTCAGTTCATATATGGGGTTAGTATGCTATTTCGAGTTGTTGATTATGCTTTGACATGATTTTGATTTCCAAATTGTTGTCTTCAACCTCAACGGATGGTTTAACCCATTTTAGGGTTCATAATTTAAAATTGATATAATGAGGGATAGATACTTGATGTAATTGATTCTTTGAGAACATTATGATGATATGTGATGAATCCAATTTGAAAACCTTTAATCCAAACATGCTTTTGAAAGGAGAATCAAGGTTTTCATAGAAAACAGTTGACTTTTTCAAAAGTCAAACAGTTTTCATGTGGAACTTAAAATTTGTTTGTTATATGCAAAATTAAAGGTTGGAGTGAAAAGGGTATATGTATTAAACATTTATAAAGAAGTTTCATGGATTAAACCAACGCTTCTTAGGTGAATTTTCAATGTTAGAGTTCATTCTTGTTCGGGTTGAAGTAAAAGATGAAGTTTTATACAACAAGGGTGGTGTCTGATTGGTTTGAGCTTGGGCTCCAAAGGTCAAAAGTGCTTGGAGGCCTAGGTTCAAATCCAAGGAGGCATAAAAATCCCCTTGTGGCCACGGAGGTTCAAATGCGATGACTCCAGGCTATCTGCAAAGCAGGTGGTGGCTCTAGGATTAGTCGGCTCGCATAGCGGGTTGGATATCTAGGCTAATCAGAAAAAAAAAGATGAAGTTTTATGAGTTAGGGGCCGTTTACATAACAGGTTGGTTTTTAGACAAGAAAAGATTTAGCTTTCATGAACTCCTACGGAAATAGTTATATGGCCGTTTGCAACGGTTTTTTTAATAGTATAAAAAGATAGGAAAGTTATCTGCAACCTTGATGAGATTGGTTGTACTGATATGAAGGTCGTATGTGAATCATATAGGCAACGAGGCATGGGTGAACATTCTCAAACTGTACTTAAACCAAAAACGAAAAGCTAAGGTGAGTTCAAATATGTTTTAACTGGGGACACGTCAAACACATGTATTACCTCGCATTTTTTGGCTTCATCGCTAAATAGGAATAGAGTCGTATCACAAGGAATTTTACAACTCAAATCCATGTTTAAATTGCTAATTTCTTTTCCAAAGTCCCGAAACGCTACCTCATCAAAAAACTAGATCGTTAACGCAAATGTCATTTTTTCGTACGAAATAATACCATCTAAACCATGGGGACTGTTTTTGTAATATAGGGAAATTAAGGGGGTTGTTTGAAAAGTTTATCTCTACAAAGATATAAAAAATTATATTAACGGTTATTTCTTCATTCCCGCCAGAAGTATACACAAGGAGAACTCGAGACCCGCAATGATTTTCTCTGAAGCTTAAAACCAGTATTTGATTTCAAAACTCGAATCATGACAACGATACTATCACTTACTTCATCTTTCAAGTTCGTCGTTAAGGAAAATACCCCACGAAGAGGAGCCAAAAGATCAGAATTTATCAATCAGTACGAACCTAATAAGCAGAAAACTTTCAATTCTGGTAGAACCTTTAGATTCCAATCAGAGCTTTCTATTGGAAAAACAAATTTATCTCGTCAGATGGAAGATTTTGTTTCGTATGTGGAAAGTGGGTCTGTTGAAAAGGCACTCCAGCTGTTCGATGAAATGAACGAAAGAAGTAGCTTTTTGTGGAATCTTATAATCAGGGTGTTAACGAATAGTGGATTTTTCGAAGAAGCTCTCGATTTGTATTTTCGGATGTCTATTGAAGGGACTAAAGCCGATAATTTTACATTTCCGTTTGTGATAAAGGCGTGTGGCGGATGCTTGGATCATGATGTGGGGCGGAAAATTCATTCGAAGTTGTTTAAGGATGGGTTGGATTTAGATTTGCATATATCTAATTCTCTTATTTTAATGTATGCAAAGCTCGGGTGTATTGGGTCTGCAGAGAAGGTGTTCGATGAAATGCCTATAAGAGATTTGGTTTCTTGGAATTCAATGATCAATGGGTATATTATGATTAGTGATGGATTGGCCTCATTCATGTGTGTTCGGAAAATGCAACAATACAATATGCGACCTGACAGATTCACAATCATGAGCACTCTTCATGCCTCTTCTCTCGTGTGTTCTTTGCCCAAAGGGAAAGAAATTCATGCACTAACGATAAAAAGCAAATTGGAGTGCAATCCAATGGTCCAGACTTCACTAATCGACATGTACGGAAAATGTGGTGGAATGTGTTATGCTGAGAGGTTTTTTAATATGATTTCTCAAAGACACATTGCGTCTTGGAATGCAATGATTCGTGGGTATGCTCTTAATGGTCGGCCCCTTGAGTCTTTTTCTTGCTTGAGAAAGATGCAAGAAAATGGTTGCAAACCTGACAATGTGTCACTAATAAACTTGCTTCTATCCTGTTCGCAGGTAGGATCCGTGTTAATGGGAAAAACCGTCCATGGTTATGCAATCAGAATGGAGTTTCTCTCCCACATTGTACTAGAAACTGCTCTAATCGATATGTATGGAAAGTGTGGAGAACCCAGATTGGCAGAACTAGCTTTTAACCGAATGCATCAAAGAAATTTGATATCACGTAATACTCTGATTGCTTCCCTTGTACAAAATGGTCTATATAAAGACGCACTGAAGTTCTTTTGGGATATCTGGAATGACGGGCTAAAACCAGATGCTATGACGATTACTGGCATATTGCCTGTGTATTCCGAGATTGCCCAGCTGCGAGAGGGGAAGCAACTCCATGGGTACATCGTTAAATCGGGCTTTTGTTCCAATACATTTGTCCTCAATTCGCTAACTTATATGTATGCGAAATGTGGGGATCTTGTTTCGGCTCGAGATATGTTTGATGGGATTTTCTTGAAGGATGTTATTTCATGGAATACAATCATTATGGCGTATGCCATTCATGGATATGGTGAAGTTTCGGTTAAATTGTTCTCTAAGATGAAGAAAATGGGTATAAAACCTAATGCAAGCACCTTCGTTTCGCTTTTATCATCTTGTAGTGTTTCAGGCATGGTGGAAGAAGGGTGGAAGTACTTCAACTCAATGAAAAGCGAATACGGGATTGATCCGGATATAGAGCATTATGGTTGTATGCTTGATCTTCTTGGACGCGTCGGTGATCTCAATAGAGCGAAACAACTAATTACTGAAATGCCCCTAGAACCAACTTCACGGATATGGGGATCTTTGCTTGCTGCAAGTCGAAGACATAGGGATCTTGAAGTTGCTGAATTTGCTGCTAAGAAGATGCTACCATTGGAACATGATAACACAGGGTTGTATGTCCTGCTGTCAAACTTGTATGCTGAAACCGGGAGATGGGAAGACGTTAAGCGGATTAAATCTCTTATGAAAAGTCGAGGCTTGACGAAAACCGTTGGGGTGACCATGGTAGATGTCAAAGGTAAAACCTTCAGGTTTACAAACGAAGATAGATCCCATGAACATAGTCATCTGATCTATGATGTTTTAGATATCATATTAAAGAACCCTCGTGGCGATTTGTCGAAATTCAAACCGATTGACCTTTTGAGAAAAATGTCAAAGTCAACAGATCGGCATAGTGTGAGACTTGCGGTATGCTTCGGGTTGATCTCTACGTCAATTGGGAAGCCGGTTTTTGTTCGAAAAAACACGAGAATCTGTGATGATTGTCACGGTGTTATGAAGAAGATTTCATTGATTTGTTGCAGAGAAATAGTGGTTGGAGATTCGAAGATTTATCACCATTTCAAAATGGGTGAATGCTCATGTCGTGATTACTGGTAACTTATATGTTCGAATATATACTTATAATTCTACAATATCTCCAAACGTCGTGGTGCAAGGCTTGTCTTCGACGTCACGTTAAGCCTATGGCACGCCATGGCCTGATGTGCACCATCTGTAAGCCATTATTTGATCTGTTATACAAATTTCACATTTTTATTGTTCTATTTTTAGGTTTTAGTATATAACTTACTTGTATATGCTCTTATATTAGTCATAGTAGAAAAACATATGTATATAAATTATATATAGGATGTATATATTTGTCGTCATAAGTTCCGCTTTGAAGACACATGCAATGGCTTCCGCTTTGAAGACGCATGCAATGGCATCTAAGTTTGAGGTCACTGTCCCGTCACATCTCACTTCATTTAGAATCTTGTATACAACTATTAAATTAATGCAAAATTACTTCTCAATACATCTTAAGTCTGATTTATTCAGACGTTTGGGTATTAAGAGCGTTTGTTTTATTTTTTTAAAATAAGAACTTAAAATCTCTAAATTTCTTCTGAAATTTTAAGTGGTAAACGTACCCCTTAATACCTTTTAATCATAATCCGTGCTCTATCAAATGGTTCGTATTTTAGGGGTTGAAATAGATTTGTTAGCAAAAACTATTTATCTTTTAACTTTTGTAAAAAAACTATTTATCTTTTATATTTTTGTAATAGTTTGACCGATTTAGATTTAAGACTTTAGACGTAAAAACAAACAATCTTACGGATCCAGATTTCAGACTTCAGAGCCACCTCTTATAAATCAGAAGTGAAATTAGACTTCACACTTCAGCACCTCTTAAAAAGCAAACGTCATCTTACCATCTCTTACCCATTAAGAGACGCTTACCCGGGTAAGAGGTAAAAATATTTACTAAAAAAATCAACAAGTATGATGACTGACCTTTGATCGTCCTCTTACTGCGGTCAAATAGAAAAAATGAATCTTACCATGGTAAGAGACATGGTTTCCTTATTTACCCTCTCCATCTAAAAGCCTTGATGTATTCTGAAATTCACTATATATATATATATATATATATATATATATATATATATATATTTTTTTTTTTTTTTTTTGTAAGGGTGTCCGGGCCAAAGCTCTAATCCCCGACAAATTTGGAGGCTAAACATGGCCCCATTTAAATGTCGCCAACACTACCATCTCAGGGCTCGAACTCGGGTTCATGACTATGCCATGCCCAAGCCTTTACCACTAGGCTGGAAGGTCTTTGACTGAAATTCACTATATATGCAGTGAAGTGTTATTCAAATGGTATATGAATATGATGTAATAAATAATGAAACATTTAGGAACAATGTGGATCTTAACATATTAAAAAAGAAGAATATAGGGAGCCACTGTAGAATTTCAGGAGTGGAGATTTTATAATTTAGCCTACCAGTTATTACCAAAGTAAAGAATTATAAATATGTTTTCAAACATGACATTTCTTTCTCTGAATCATGCTATTCAGTAAATTATGAGATTGATCTACTCACTATCCATTGCTAGTTCTTTTGTTCCTTTATTGACTTGCATTATATCCGTCTGAAGAGATTCCAACATCAATCCACGCCTGCTTATTGAACTTCCTATTGTTCCTATCCTGTACTCAAATTATTCACCCATTTGGCCTGCCCATGAATTTTGAAACATCAAGAAAACTACAAAGTAGAAAGTGAGAATCTTAAGGTTTTGCATACTTGTCTAATAGAAGCCAAATTGTAAACTCCACATAAACTTACATGTTTGCTCTGAAATAGCAGAACTCCATTTACGGATTAGAGCTACGAAAGATCTTGATAATGGCACGTGTGTGATTGACTGGGGGTAAGGATGAAAACCTTTTCAAGGAACTCTCCCTTTCTTGAGAAACAACTAACTACAAAAAGTTTCGGTGAAGAAAGTAAAATATGTTAACCTCTCTTCTGTGATCAAGAGCTCAGTATGAAGTTGAAAGGAAAATAAGTATGTTGTTCTTGTAGAGAACATGAAATGACATCTCGATTCTCAAGCACAATAATAAAGCTTAGTATGTTGCTTCTAACAACTATACATATCGAGTAAATTCAAGTAATCTTTGACAAAATAAATCAACTTTACACTTAATTCTAGTTCTAAACACCTCAGTCTTTGGGTTTATATATATATATATATATATGAATGCAATAGTTAACTGGAAGTGATATTTCTAATTTGGGAAAGGCAATTGAAATCCATTGATATTTCTTTCTTGTTCAAAAGGGATCAGTCGTACTACAAGCCAACCCCATATCATGGAACTAATTTTGGTTGCCTTTTTTTGGGAAATTATTGAAAGTGGCATATAACTACTCTTTATATATAGAAATCTTATGTTGGTCTTCCTATCGTCATTTCCGTTTATGTTTACTTGGTTTCCTTTTTGTATCTAGACTATTTTTATACTTGCGTAGTTTGCATAAATGGTGAGATTATCAATTTTCACGTCTTTTCCTTGTTTGTAGATTCAGTAATCAAATATACTATAATTCATTAGTTTCATGGATTGTTTTTTATGCTACCTAACTAGTTGCTTAGACTAGACTTTTTATGTCACGTTATGTTTTGCAATTTTGCATGAACCATGGATAATTGGACCATAAGTGTCAAACCCCTGGTTACAAAAAAAAGATGACATTGAACCCCATAGTATAGTTTGCATTTTTGTCCACTTTTGGCCCTACTAATAGATGTTAGTCTACATCTCTATCTCTTGAGTAAATGACATGTTAGTCCTTTCACAATATTTTCTTATTTTCTAATTAAAAGTTATAATCTTCGAATTCCTTTCATTAAAAAGGAGTAACGTTCCCACCATCCTTCCCGAAAAGAATGTTCCCAGCTCCCCTCAAAACATTTCCGAAGACGGTGAATGCCACCCCCTTTTAATTTTCTGTACAGGCATCATAACGTTTAATATTGCAGATTTGCTTGTGACTACCCATTTTTGTACAGATTCTAAACTTAAATATCAAAACATTATTTTGCAATTAAAAAATAAGAAAATATATAAAATTCTCTTCGTTACAACAAACAATGGTAGTGAAAATAATTTGCATCTAAACAACCTTGATAAATTCACTGTCTTATATTGCATTTAATTCGTTGCCAATTATCAAATTGTGTTTTATCTTAACTTAGAACGAATTTTCTAACAATATATTTGTGTCACTGCACATTACAAACCACAAAAAGGTTGGGAACTGCGAAAATCAATAATCAGGTTTTATTTCTCATTGTGAAACAATACATGTGTTATTTATAGTAAAAGGAATATCAGTATTGTTATGGCCAATTGCATGAAGAGATAGCCCATATATGCTTGGTTGCTTGTGTGTTATACTAATTGCATGGTGAGATGGTACCTATTCGTTTAGCAACTCTTATTTTAGGCATTTGCATGGTTATATAGCACTTATATGCTTGATAGATATGTTTTGATTCATAAGTTTCTATATTGCAACTTTTATGATAGTGTAAGCATGCTTTCACATTTATTATTATATATGTTGAGCCTGTTATAGGAAGTCGTGAACTCGGTAGGCGCAAACTGATTTCTAGTATGCATTTCTTAGGGGACACCGGCTCGAAAAGGAAAGAGAAGGTTTGGGAAGACCTTGATGCCATTTCTTTTATTTGAAGTAAATGAATATGTGATTTTGGATTTTGCAAGGTTGATGAACCTGTGATTAGACTTTCACTGTTAAGTCTCTACGTTTAAGTTATGATGATTTCTATGAACACTGTTATGTTACTAAGTACTAAAAGTTACAAAGAACGTCATCATGCGTTGTGGTTTTGGTCCATGGTCGTTAGGGTTGTTAGTTGCTACCGTTATTTGAGGGGCTTTTTGGTCTTTTTACCTTTTTTAAAAAACTAATATGCAAGTTATGTAAAGTATATGTAAATCATAAACCATTTGTAAGAACAAAATATAATCTAACCACCCCACCCCCCATCTTCCGATTCCACTTTCATCTCACCACCATCCTCCTCTCCCTTTCTCTCACCACCATCTCCACATTTTCCCTCATCGCGTCCGTTGCTGGCTTGATGGCAACCATCGTGCCTTCACCTGATTCTTCCCTTTGTGGCCCTTCTTCATCGGCACTAACAATTCCTTCTGCGACTTGATTGCAACCGCATATTTCAAATCATCAATTAAATCATTAGGTTTTTTAGCATTTGTCTAAGGTTTAAAGATTTGTTAGGTTTTTTTCATGTTTCAAGTTGGATTGATGGGATCTTTATGAAAGGAAATTAAATTAGAATCATGTGCATCTTTTTAACAATCTTTATTTTATTGAGTTACCTGTACATCATAGTATTAGCATCTAATTTTTTGTGGGATCAAATTAGAATGTTATGCATTTGGATCTCTTATTGTTTTAGAGTGACTGGTTTTTCCAAGCGTTCTTGCTAAAGTTCAACGATATACTAATGAACAAAAGTTCATTTGAATGAAGTGCAACTGGAGCATAAGGGGAGGGTTCATGGGATTGGATCTCTTACATGGTGGTCGAAGTTGCAAGTGTAGCATACGGGGAGGGTTCATGGTGAGGAAGAAGGAAACAAAATGAAGTGCTCCAATATTCTTCTCAGTGGTCATCGGAGAAACGGGAAAGGGGGTTTGCCGGGAAAACGTGGAGGGGATTGAAGCTTGTGGATGTAACGTTTGGACTGGTTAATCTTCTTCCTCTCATGATTATTTTTGTCTTCTGAAGGTCTTGTACCCTTTGTTCTGTGTGTAGCGGTAGAGGATAGGATGGATTTTTTTTAGCAGGTGTCACGGTGGAGATCGTGGTTGCATTATATTTTATTTATTTTTTAAAAATCATTTATGACTTGTACATATGTTTTAAGGAAATTATATACTATTTTTTAATATATATAAAAAAGACAAAATTGACTAACAAAGTCACAATAAAAATGAAACCTCATGATGTTTTTTTATTGTAATTTTTAATGGTTAGTGATGATAGCCAAGTTTCAACAAATATTGTGGACTATTTTTGTAATTTACTCCATAAACTTATTATTTTTTGAAATTAAACAAAAGTAACTTACATGTTTGGTCCTTGTGGTTTGTGGTTTTTACATTTTCTCACCCCCTGATACTTGTGGTTTATATTTTG